AAATTAATTTTTGATAAATCCATGCCTGGAAAAAAATCAAAAAATTATGTTTTAATAAATCCACTCCTGGAAAAAATTTGAAAAATTATTTTTTAATAAATCCACGCCTGGAAAAAATTTCTAAAATAAATTTTTAATGAATTCACGCCTAGAAAAAATGTAAAAAATATTTGTTAATTCATTCCACCTCTAGAAAAAATTGAGAAAATAATTTTTAATAAATTCACGCCTGGAAAAAATTATTTTTTAACAATCCCACGCCAGGAAAAATTTTTAAAAATTATTTTTTAATAAATCCACGCCTGGAAAAAATTTCAAAAAATATTTTTTAATAAATCCACGCCTGGAAAAAACGTCAAAAGTTATTTTTTAATAAATCCACGCCTGGAAAAAATTTCAAAAATTAATTTTTAACAAATCTACGCCTGGAAAAAATTTCAAAAACTATTTTTTTTAACAAAAACACACCTTGAACAAATTAAAAAAATTTTTTTTTTAAACCATGCCTTGAAAAAAATTCAAAAATTATTTTTTAATAAATCTACCCATGGAAAAAATTTCAATGTCCAGACCCGCCCTGCTCCCCAACAAATAGCCATGTAATAACAATAACAACAACAATAAAAAAATGTCCACAACGATCGTAAAAATAATTATTTTCCACATTGCATATTAATTTAGAAAAATTAGAACGCTGACTAAGAGTTACAAAAACAACAACAAACATCGAACTCAAAGCGCAGCAGAGCTGCGTTTGCCTTGCAGCGCCAAAAACAAGATGCCAACGGAACAATTAGTAGCTCTGTAAAGGCAACAACAAAAAACCAACAACGACAAATATTTGCTTAAATTAAAACAAGAAACAACAACGACTTGGAGGTGCTGCGTTTTCGTTGTTATTGTTGTTGCTACTGTCGTCAGCATTTGTTGTTGGGGTGCCAATGATTAATTTTTGTATTTTTTTTTTTATTTTCTGATACCAGCTCACCGCTCTGAGTCATAAATACGTAAGTAATGCCGTCACACAGCTTTCAACTTTCGAAGCCATAGCGAACGCGATCTGAGACAAGTTATTCGTTGTTGTTGTATTCGCAATCACATGAAGTGAAAAAACCCTACAAAATTCTCTCAATTCCTCAAAAGAAGAAAAAAAAACAAACAGATCGTCAAGTGAATCGAAAACCAAACGAGAAGAATTGAACGAATCTGTAATCGATTTGATTTGGAGAGGAAATGTGTGTTTTGAAACACAGTGGAGGGTAAATGTGAAATTGCGATTTTTTTAAAATTATTTTTTAATAAATCCACGCCTGGAAAAAATTGCAAAAATTATTTGTTAATAAATCCCCGCATGGAAAAAATTTCAAATATTATTTTTTAATAAATCCACGCCTGGAAAAAATTGCAAAAATTATTTTTTAATAATTACACCCCTGAAAAAAATTTGAAAAATTATTTTTCAAACAATCCACGCATGGAAAAAATTGCAAAAATTATTTTTTAATAAATCCACGCCTGGAAAATTTTTCAAAAATAATTTTTTTATAAATCCACGGCTGGAAAAAATTTCAAAAAATAATTTTTAAATCAATCCACGCCTGGAAAATTTTTCAAAAATAAGTTTTTAATAAATCCACGTCCGGAAAATTTTTCAAAAATAATTTTTAAATAATTCACGTCTGGAAAATTTTTCAAAAATAATTTTTTAATAAATCCACGGCTGGAAAAAATTGCAAAAATATTTTTTGTTTTTAATAAATCCACGGGTGGAAAAAATTTCAAAAATAAATTTTTAATAAATCCGCAACTGGAAAAAATTTTAAAAATTATTTTTTTCATAAATCCACACCTGGAAAAAATTTCAAAAATTATTTTTTAATAAATCCACGTCTGAAAAAATTTTCAACAATTATTTTTTTAATAAATCCACGCCTGGAAACAATTGCAAAAATTATTTTTTAATAAATGCGCGCATGGAAAATATTTCAAAAATTATTTTTTTTAATAAACGCCTGGAATTTCAAATTCAAAAATTATTTTATAATAAATCCACGTCTGGAAAAAAATTGAAAAATTATTTCTTTAATAAATCCACACCTAGAAAAAAATTCCAAAAATAATTTTTAAAAAATCTACGTCTGGAAAAAATTGCAAAAATTAATTTTTCATAAATCCACGCCACGAAAAAATTGCAAAAATTATTTTTTAATAAATCCACGCCTGGGAAAAATTTCAAAAATTATTTTTTACTTAATCCACGCCAGGAAAAAATTGCAAAAATTATTTTTTAATAAATCCAGGCCTGGAAAAAATTTCAAAAATTATTTTTTCATAAATCCTCGCCTGGAAAATATTTCAAAAAATATTTTTAATAAATCCACACTTGGAAAAAAAATTCAAAAATTATTTTTTAATAAATGCACGCCTGGAAAAATTGCAAAAATTATTTTTTAATAAATCCACGGCTGGAAAAAATTTCAAAAAATATTTTTTAATAAATCCACACTTAGAAAAAATTTCAAAAATTATTTTTTTAATAAATCCACGCCTGGAAAAAATGTCAAAAATAATTTTTTAATAAATCCACGCCTGGAAAAAATGTCAAAAATAATTTTTTTAATAAATCCACGCCTGAAAAAAAATCGAAAATTATTTTTTAATAAATCTACGCCTGGAAAAAATTTCAAAAAATACTTTTTATTAAATCCACACCTGGAAAAAATTTCAAAAATTATTTCTTTAATAAATCCACGGCTGGAAAAAAATTCAAAAATTATTTCTTTAATAAATCCACGGCTGGAAAAAAATTCAAAAATTATTTTTTAATAAATCCACGCCTGGAAAAAATTGCAAAAATTATTTTTTAATAAATCCACGCCTGGAAAAAATTGCAAAAAATATTTTTTAATAAATCCACTCCTGGAAAAAATTGCAAAAATTATTTTTTTTATTACATCCACGCCTGGAAAAAATTTCAAAAATTATTTTTTAATAAATCCACGCCTGGAAAAAATTTCAAAAATTATTTTTTAATAAATCCACGCCTGGAAAATTTTTCAAAAATTATTTTTTAACAAATCCACGCCTGGAAAATTTTTCAAAAATTATTTTTTAATAAATCCACGCCTGGAAAATTTTTCAAAAATTATTTTTTAATAAATCCACGCCTGGAAAATTTTTCAAAAATTATTTTTTAATAAATCCACGCCTGGAAAATTTTTCAAAAATTATTTTTTAATAAATCCACGACTGGAAAAAATGTCAAAAATTATTTTTTTTTAATAAATCCACAAATGGAAAAAATTTCAAAAATTATTTTTTAATAAATCCTCGCCTTGAAAAAAGTTGCAAAAATATTTTTTTTAATAAATCCTCGCCTGGAAAAAATTTCAAAAATAATTTTTTATTAAATCCTCGTCTGGAAAAAATTGCAAAAATTATTTTTTAATAAATCCTCGTCTGGAAAAAGTTGCAAAAATTATTTTTTAATAAATTCTCGCCAGGAAAAAATTGCAAAAATTATATATTAATAAATCCACGCCTAGAAAATTTTGAAAAATTATTTTTTAATAAATAATATGCCTGGAAAAAAATTCAAAAATTATTTTTTTTTAATAAACGCCTGGAATTTCAAATTCAAAAATTATTTTTTCAATAAATCTACGCCAGGAAAAAAATTCAAAAATTATTTTTTAATAAATCCACGCCTGGAAAAAATTCAAAAAATTTATTTTTAATAAATCCACTCCTGGAAAAAATTTCAAAAATTATTTTTTATTAAATCCTCGCCTGGAAAAAATTGCAAAAATTATTTCTTAATAAAACCGCTTTTGAAAAATTTCCAAAAATTATTTTTCAATAAATCCACGCCTGGAAAAAATTGCAAAAATTATTTCTTAATAAAACCGCGTTTGGAAAAATTTTCAAAAATTATTTTGTAATAAATCCACGCCTGGAAAAAATTGCAAAAATTATTTCTTAATAAAACCGCGTTTGAAAAATTTCCAAAAATTATTTTTCAATAAATCCACGCCTGGAAAAAATTGCAAAAATTATTTCTTAATAAAACCGCGTTTGGAAAAATTTTCAAAAATTATTTTTGAATAAATCCACGTCTGGAAAAATTTGCAAAATTAATTTTTAATAAATCCACGCCTGGAAAAAATTGCAAAAATTAGTTTTTAATAAATCCATGCCTGGAAAAAAATTCAAAAAATATTTTTTATAAATCCACGCCTGGAAAAATTTGCCAAAATTCCCATAAATATCCCCTTTTGCCTTCAAAAAAAAAATCCCCTCTCTTTTCTTTGCAACCAACTCACATTCGTCCCCCACTGTATTTTATCATCAAGCCTGCACTTGATGTGTTTTCTGTGTTTGTTTTTATTATCAGCAACATTTGTTTCAAGCTTTCAAGTGACAGTTGTCGGTATGTACATACTACACTTGCTTGATTGCTTTTAACAACAACAACAACAGCAACAATAACCATTACAACAGCAACAACAAAAACACATGTGTGGCCCCATAAATATTGTACATGTCTTGACTTGAATGTGTTTTACACCTTTTCATTGGCATAGGGTTTTCTATGAGTGTGTGTGTGTGTGTCTGTGTGTTGCTTTGTTTGGGGAAAGTCCTTTCCGAGGCGTGGGGTTGGGGGTTTGTTTGTTTTATGTCTATGCCACATACATGTGATTGTATGTGTGTGTGTGTGTGTCTGTTTCTATGTTTAGTTTGAGACGTTTTCTAAAATTAAATAAAATAATTTTTTTTTCTTTTCTTGGGGCAGTCTATTTGGCGTTTTTCTTGTTAGTTGGGGCATTGGCAACACTTAACCCCTTATACTATTTGTGTGTGAGCGTCTGTTTCAAACAATACGTTTGTGTTTTTGGTTTTTTTTCAGACAACTGCTCGCTCCTCTGTGTGTACGAATGCCCCATTGAACGCTGGGTATTTGCTGAGCTCCACTGAGCTCCGTTCGCTGGCTGGCTGGCTGGTGTCTATATCTAGTATCGTGAACTTAGTACAAGCGAGACGTCGTTTCGTGCGGAGAGCGAGCGCTGTGAATTTGAATTGAAAAAAAATATATATTTAAAGAAGAAAATTTAGCAAAAAATTAGAAGAAAAAAATTCATAGAGCAAAAAAAAAAAAGAAGGTTGTGAAACAGAAAAGAAAAAATCTACCTATTTTGCAGTGTAAAGTTTTACAAAATTCCGAGAGCTGCGAAGTTGAAATAAATCCATTTTTTTTTTTTGTTCTGGGAAAAGTGGTGCCATTTGTGGAGAAAAAAAAGCAAACGAAATGTCAAATATGCAATAACTTCAGATTTCCCCAAAACGAATAAATTTCTTTCTCGTAGAGAAAACACTCAAGGTGTTTTTTTCCTTTGGCCGATTTTTTTCCTTTCTTTCTTTCAACCTACCTATATGAACCAGTGACGACAGAAAAATCGGCGACCGCGGCGGCAACGACACACAAACGGGGCAGCACATACCAAATATTCCCCAATATTACATTTGTACAAAAAAAAACGCGCACACACACCCCAACCTACATACATAGATCCATATAAAAATTAAAAAAAAAATAAAACAAAAGAGAGAGAGAGAGAGAGAATCGTGAACAGTGAAAATAAATATTCCCCCCCAAACGAAGTGAGCGAGTGTGTGTCACAAAGCACACCGCCAGCACACACACAGCACTTAGTCAGCTGTGTGTGTTTGCTCCAACAACATAACAGCTGATTGGAGTATCCCCATTAAAGAGGAATAAATTAGTACGCGAGTGAGTGAGAGCAACGAGAGAGTGGTGGTGGTGAGCGCCAAGAAAAAAAAATACAAAGGTAATTAAAAAATAAAATTTATTTATCAGAGCCATCTGGTGGTAGATAGTGTTTAAGACACACACACACACGAGTGCCATAAAACGGGAAATACAAGTGTGGTGTTAAGCCAAATAAAAGAAACAAACCAACAAACAAACGTATGGAGCACATGCAATAAATAACTAATTACATTAACACAAAAAAAAAATGAGAAGATTACAATAACAAAAACAAAGCATACATAAAATAAACACAACAATTCTCCAAAAACCAGCTAAGTAATTAAAACAATAACAACAAATCCCTAACGTGCTCAGTTTATTCAATGAGGGCCATTATGCATAAAGAGAAAATAGCCAGTATTTACTCACCCATCTAAAGGGAGAGAGTAAATTCCAAACTCAGTAAAAATAGAGTTCACCCAAATGCAAAGAGTTCACAACAGCAAGTGTTTGTGTGCAAGTCTGTGTGTGGCTGTGTGTGGGGGGATAGCCGTTTTAGAACACCCACAACCACAGCAGCAGCAGCAGCAACAGAAAGTCTAAATAACAATAATACCAACAACAAAAGACATACATTAGAGAGTAGGCAGAGAAACAATGAACACCAGCATGATGACATCCACCCACACTAAATAAAAGCCAATGGGGGGAGACTGGGAGCAAAACCAGACATGGAAACACAGACACACACACAGAGAAACACAATGAGAGACAGAGCACCAAATGCAAAGTTATTTTGCTTCGTCTCTGTCTGAGAAATTGTATGAAAAATTGATGATATTTACAATGTGTGCAACTCTTTCTTTCTTTCTTATTTTTATTTTTGCGGGATTTTGGAGGGAACTTTTTTGGACATGGGAAATTAAAGAAAAATTATAAAATAAATAGAAAAATTAAAATATTAAATAAAAATTAAATTTAAGAGAAGATAAAGGTATAAATGACAAGTCTTGTGTGTTACAACTTTCCTTGATTTAATTAAAAAGAGATGGCAGAGTAGAGACCTAGGTTGCATTGTTTCAACTTTTGAGGTAGGAGGTTCAAGCCTGTTTGAATTTTAAAACCTCTTTAGTTTTTTAAAGACTCAATGCGATTTTCTTAAATATTTTTTGTTACGAATGGGATTTTTTAAGAAATATTTCTTTCACATATATTTTTTTTTTCAAATAACTAGGTACAAGCGGGATATTTAATATATATTTAGGATAAACACCGATATTTTACACCTTCAGCCAGCTGACCTAAATTGAATTGTAGAAATTTTGGCGTTAGGAGGTTCAAGGAATATTAAAATCTCTTCACTTTTTAAAGACTTGTATTATTTAAATTTCGAATGTCATTTTCTTGAAATCTAATTTACCTGGATATATAGTTCATTCTGAGATTTATAGTGAAATTTTGTGTAGAATATTTCTTCCTTTGCTACTTTTTGTCTAAAATGAAATTTTATGTCAATTTCAGGCGTCAACTCGAAAAAAGTCCGAGAAAAAATTGAACAAAAAAATGAGGAAATCTTTTTGCGTTTTTTTGGGGGCCAATATTTTTTGATATGGAATGAAAATAGAGATTTCTTTTCTTTGGCGACTTATAGTGAAATTTGATGATGAATATATCTCTCTTTAACGTCATCCTTATAAAATTATGATTTGAAAGGGAATTTAACACAAACTCACATGGAGACGTGAAAACGTAAACACATAATTTTCTCTTGTAATATTTAAAATTCGAATGTAATTTTCTTGAAAACTATTATATCTGGATATATAGTTATTTCTGAGATTTATAGTGAAATTTTGTGTAGAATATTTCTTCCTTTGATACTTTCTGCCTAAAATGAAATTTTAAGTCACTTTCAGGCGTCAACTCCAAAAAGTCCGAGGGAAAATTGAACAAAATATGAGGAAATATTTTTTGCGTTTTTTGAAGGGCAATATTTTTTGGTATAGAATGGAGATAGAGATTTCTTTTCTTTGGCGACTTATAGTGAAATTTGATGAGGAACATATCTGTCTTTGACGTCATCTCTCTAAAGTAATGCTTTATTGGAGAAATTTGCGTAAACTCACAAAGAGTACGGTTTTAACCCTAAAATGCCTTTTTAATATATTTGAATTCTTGGCTTTTAGCAAAGGTTTAGATTCTTGACTTCTTTTAGGACCTATAGTAGAATTTTATGACAAATAATTTTGTGGAATATTTTGACCTGCTACGATCCCGATTTTAGGGAAATTTTAATCACATTTTCAAAAAGGGACCAAAAAAACCCCTTTCTTGACCCACTTGAGGGTTAAAATTTCCAATCAAAATATTTCTCGTGTTTTTATCTGCAATATTGCCGAAGACACTATATAGCTGAAATTCAAGGATTCCGAGGAATCTTAATCCGATAATCTCCATGTGTTTTGTGGTGGCGCCCAATCAATGTGGCAATAAACGTATATTTTTTAAAGAATTTTTTTTCAAGGACCTTAAGTCGAATAAATTAGGAGTTTTTTAAAGAATTTATTTCAAGGACCTTAAGTTGAATAAATTAGGATTTTTTAAAAAATTTATTTCAAGGACATAAAGACCAAAAAAATTAATTTTTTAAAGAATTTATTTGAAGAATAAACGTGGATTTTTTATAGAATTTACTTCAAGGATATTAAGGCTAATAAAGGTGAATTTTTTAAAGAATTAATTTAAAGAACCGTAAGTCGAATAAATGAGGATTTTTTAAAGAATTTATTTCAAGGACCTTAAGTCGAATAGATGAGGATTTTTTAAAGAATTTATTTCAAGGACCTTTAGTCGAATAAATGAGGATTTTTTAAAGATTTTTTTCAAGGACCTTAAGTCAAATAAATGAGGATTTTTTAAAGAATTTATTTCAAGAACCTTAAGTCGAATAAATGAGGATTTTTTAAAGAATTTATTTCAATTACCTTAAGTCGAATAAATGAGGATTTTTCAATGAATTTATTTCAAGGACCTTAAGACGAATAAATGAGAATTTTTTAAAGAATTTATTTCAAGGGTCTTAAGTCAAATAAATGAGGATTTTTTTAAAGAATTTATTTCAAGGACCTTACGTCGAATAAATGAGGATTTTTTAAAGAATTTATTTCAAGGAGCTTAAGTCGAATAAATTAGAAATTTATAAAGAATTTATAAATAGGACCTTAAGTCGAATAAAAGAGGATTTTTTAAAGAATTTTTTCAAGGACGTTAAGTCGAATGAATGAGGATTTTTTGAAGAATTTATTTCAAGGACTTTAAGTCGAATAAAAGAGGATTTTTTAAAGAATTTATTTCAAGGACCTTGATTCGAATAAATGGGGATTTTTTAAAGACTGTATTTCAAGGACCTTAAGTCGAATAAATGAGGATTTTTTAATGAATTTATGTCAAGGACCTTAAGTGGAATAAATGAGGATTTTTTTAAAGAATTTATTTCAAGGATCTTTAGTCGAATAAATGAGGATTTTTTAAAGAATTTATTTCAAGGACCTTAATTCGAATAAATGAGGATTTTTTAAGGAATTTATTTCAAGGACCTTAAGTCGAATAAATGAGGATTTTTTTTAAGAATTTATTTCAAGAACCTTAAGTCGAATAAATGAGGATTTTTTAAATAATTTATTTTAAGGACATGAAGACCAATAAATGTTTATTCGTTTAAGAATTTATTTCAAGGACATGAAGTCTAATAAATGAGAATTTTTTAAAGAATTTATTTCAGGGACATTAAGTCTAATAAGTGAGAATTTATTAAAGAATTTATTTTCAAGGACCTTAAGTCGAATGAATAAAGAATTTATTTCAAGGACCTTAAGTCGAATAAATGAGGATTTTTTAAAGAAGTGAGGATTTTTTAAAGAATTTTTTTTCAAGGTCCTTAAGTCGAATAAATGAAGATTTTTCAGAGAATTTATTTCAAGGACCTTATGACTCCACAGAGTCTGTAGGTAACCCCGGAGGTCATCATAAAAATCTGCCATATATTTTTTTTTTTTTTTTTTTTTGAATTAAATAAATCCACAATTAATCCGTGCGGTTTCAGATTATAAATAATTGTTAACCAAACCCTGAGCTGCCCGCCTTCCCGTCTCTCTCTGGCTGGCCAGCTTGAATGCTACAATGACTGGATCTCTCTGTCTTTCTGTCTGTCGGTTTGGCCAGCATTCTGTTTGAATATTAATAGAAATACAATGAAACCAACAAAATGACAAATCACAAATACAAGCAATTCGCATTCCGAGAATGAAATCATCGGAGACAGCAACAACGATGACTACGACAAGAACACCAACAACAGCAACATCATCATCATCATCGCTGCCATCAGAATAAATGTTGTTACCGTCAACATTAAGTCCACACCATTGCCACCATCATATTTTTGTTGTTGTTTTTTAGTACAACAACAACAACAAAACAAAGTACATGAATAAGTTAGAGGTTCGTCATTGTTGTTGTTATTGGTTTTAGTTGGTCATACATTCCGCTTGACTGACTAGCTTGACTATGGCCTTAATGGCAACCAAAACAAACGTAGTTCTATAAATCTCCCAACCTACCACCTCCCCCTCGATACTCTCTTCAAATTACATACCACCTCACCGGCATGTATTACAATTTTATCGCATTGTTATTTTTGTCACACTCCACAAAAATTCTCGCCACTGGCCAGAGAAACTTGTAGAGGTGAGAGGTGTCGTGTAACTCAAGGGAGAGAGAGAGAGAGAGAGAGGGAGAAAAACAGTAAATCAGGCGAGGGTGAGAGCAGTGTTTGGAAATGTGCAACAATTTCACGTTTTAATGTGAAAATCGTAACTTATGTGGTGAGGTAGGACACAGAAAAAAAATAAATTCACACCAAGCTTTGGCAGATTAGTCACTTCGCATGCATTGTCAACGTCAATGGAAAGCGGAGTGCAAAAAAAAAATTATAAACGTGGCCAAGTATTCAATTAAGGCAAAAGGAAAATTCTTGAGCTTGGAATTTGAGACAGAGGAATTGGGTAAATATTGAAA